TGGGCCCAGAACAGTGTTTACCTCCATGCTGGGCCATGTGGGACACATGAACCTGCTGCAGGAGCAAAGGATGGAGCAAGGAGGGAGAGATGGGGCTGCCTGACCCTAGAAGAAAGAAGACTTCCAAGAAGAGAACTTGGGATGGGCCAGAAGAAGGAGGAAGACTGAAATAGAAGGAGGGAGTGTGATCCAAACAAAGGCAGCAGATGGAGTAAAGGCAGAGAAGTTGGAATGCCTGACCCAGAGAGGCCCCCCGAGGTCTGGAAGCAGCCTGGGCAGGGCTGGATAGGGAAGGCCTCCTTTGCTCACTGGTTCACCTTCTCACTTTCTCATTGCTGGGAAGAATCAGTGGTCAGCAGGTGATACCGGGCAGGTTTGTCCTTAATCTCTCATTATTTATACCTGCCTCACAGAATAGTAGAAAAGAGGATGTAAGAACAAGCATAGGGCAAATGCTCTCCCTCCTTTTCTTCTAATGCCTCCCTACAGTTTCCAGAATAAATGATGGATTTGGGTACATTTTGCTCTGGGGTGTAGGTGGAATGGCGTTCCGGGACTATCTATCCAACCTCCTGTCTTACAGATCAGAAAATTGAGGTCCAGAGAAGGTCACAGTGCCTTTGGGCAGAGCCCAGCCCATCTCCACATCCTGAAGCTGCCTCCCTGAGCCACTCTGGGGCCTGCTAAGGGGATGCCTCTGCTGAGCAGGGACCTGGTGTCCAGTCACTGAGAGTACACAGACCCAGAGGGAGGGAACAGGGTGAAGGGATCAGACTGGAGAGCCCTCTTTCCTGGAGACCTAGCATTGCCTGTCACACACCCCTTACTCAGCTTTGGGGCTCTATGCACTAGTGATATTGACTTCGATTAGTCATTAAAAAGAGGAAGAGAAAAAAAATAGCCCTTGAGGCAGACAGCAGCAGGACAGGGCTCAGTAGACATGAATCAACCCTGCTGGCTGGCCTGACGCCATCCCCTGGGAAGGGCCCGGAGGCTGCCTGGCCTCTGTGCCTCTTAGAGAAATCAAACTCTTGCTTCCAGAAAGGTGTCCTGGAATCCTGGAGCCTCTGCCAGGAGAGACCACCAGGGCTGCTCCCACCTCCACCAGGGAAAGCTGGGGGCGTCCTGCCCACGGGGGTTCTTTCTAACTGGGTCTTCTCTTCCTGATGGTGTCTATGGTGGGGGGTTGAAAACCACTGAATGAAGATCAAAAAACACAGGACAATTGATGCTGGTGGAATGTGAGAAGAGGAGGAAGAGGGTGGATGCCCCAGGTTTCCGGCTGGGGAGGCCCTGGGGGACAGTGGGGTTCTGAGCTTGGGAGTTCAGAGGCGGGGCTCTCAAGCCTCGTTTTGGCCAGGTGCCCGGATGATATCTAGGCACATCTATCCAGAAGACACGGGGGCCATTGAGCTTGTAACTGCCCCGTGGATTCAGCCACCATCTCCACATCAAAGCTTTCCAGGTCCTCAACTCTAATCCAGCCTCCTCCGGGGCTCGCCAGTTAGCTCAGGTGGTTAGAGCACAGACTTATAAAACCAATCCAGCTCCCTCCGGAGTTGTGACTGCCACTCAAAGAGGGTTCGTAGGTTCCCAAGGGAACTGGGGCCCTAATTATTCAACAAATATTTGAATGCCCACTTTGTGCATGTATACAGTGTCCACCCTGGACAGTCCAAGGCACCAGGAAGACAGCATGCCAGGCTAGCCACATTACCTAGTTCCGTTCTGGTCAGGAGTGTGTATGGATTGGGAGATGGGGGTGGGGGGAGGTGGGGGGGCTCTGGCATCCTATATCCTTGTCATTTTATTCAGGGTCCAATAAGTGATTAAAGGTCTGAGTTAATCTGGAAGATATTTCTAGAAAAGTGCCACAGGGCTCTGGCATGGATGTGGATGAGGTTGTAGTGGGCAACTGAGTCAGGAGCCATCAGAATCTCACAAACTGAAACAAGGACCAGAACAAATGAAGAAATGAAACAGGAAAAAGGCCCTTCTCTTGAGTCCAAAATCCAACTGCACAGACAGTGGTAGGGAGGGGCTTGGGGCTCTCCTTGGCAGGAAGTGCTTCATGATTACTTATGTGATCTCTGGCTGCATTAATAGAGGTAGACCCTATAGAAAGAGGGAGGGGATGGGTCAGCTCTGGCACTGCTCAGACCACAATCAGCAGATTCAGTTTGTGTGCAGAAGGCGGAGACAGAGCGGAACAAATCTGGGGCGGGGGCTGCAATTTGGGAAGGGTCTGAAGGGGAAGGAATGCTTAACGTGAGAAGAGAAACCCAGGGAGGGTGGGATGCTACCTTCAGATATCTGGCAGGGTCACCCAGGGGAGAGGACAGCGACAAGTTCTTTATGGTCTGGTGCCAAACCACAGGAAAGGAAAGGGCTGTCTAACAATTGGTGCTGCCCTTGATGGGGGAAAAGCTAGTGAGCTCTCCATCACAGGAGACGTGCAAGCTGAGGCTGGAAGCTGAGGCCCAGGGGACTTTTCAGACCCCTTGGAGCCTGACATTCTGAGGCTTTGGCTACAATAGGGATGTGGATAGTGTGTAGGGAACCAGAGCAGCAAGGTACTGACGAGGGGAAGGCTTCTGGAAGTAGGTGGCACCTAAGGATGAGGCGAGTGTCAGCTTCGTGCAATCAGCATTCCAGGCAGAAGGAAGTGCATGGGAAAGCAGAGGGAGGGTTGTAGGGAGAGGGAGACTGTCACAGATGTGGTGCAGTAGCCTGCAATCTCAGGCTGGGGTAGTGGGATGAAGAGGAGGGTGGGGGGAGGGGGACAGTCCAGAGGAGGAAGTAGGAGGCGGATTTGGTGAGGAAGGTCCTCTTGGAACCACCCCTCAAGGTTTTACTTGGAGCCACAGCTGGTTTGACCAAAGCTGTAAGGTCAAGCCCTAAACCCTCCATTTGGCTTTGGAGCCAATCTGTATGCCACTCCCAGGGTGGACCCCGACCTGGGTGCACCATCAGAACTGGGCCCTGCCCTCACAGACAAAGGGCTCGGAGGAGGGCATCTCCCTGCCAACCCTCTGTTGGAGAAACATCCCAGACCAGCCTTCAGCTCTTGGGGGAGGCTATGGAGGTAGCAGGTCAGAGCTGGCACCTGGGGAAGACATGTCCTCCTTTGTCAGGTGGGCAAGCTGAAGTCGAGAGAGGCACCAGCCCAGATCCTGGGGGTCTCTGAGGGCAGGGCAGAGGGCTTGGCAGGGCTGGCAATGATCGTCTCTGGCCATTCCTCTCAGGGAAAATGACCATGACCAGTATACAGGAAAATTCTTCCACCCTTGCCTGTCCTCCCCTATCTTTCTCTGGGCACCAAGACAGAGAGGGCAAGGTGCTGAATGGCAGGAACTCCTGGGGTCACTTTCCAACCTGGCAGGCTGACCACCAGGGGAGCTGGGCTCCTGCAGCCTGCACTCTGCCTCAGTTTCCCTAGGGAGTGCTTCTCTGACTCAACTTCTAGACCTGGCACGGTCTCAGTGTGTACAGGTGGGCTTGGTGGGGTAACGGGTGGCCACCTGATTGCAGCCATGGGCATTTGTGGGGAGCGGGAGTGAGGATTTCTTTCAGCTGCTGGGGAAGGAGGTATGATCCCTTGATGAGAGCAGGCCCCTCTGAGCTGCCTCCATAAAAGCTCCAGCCACCTCCCTCTCATGGTTGGTCCCCACTTTGGGGGTTAATGGGACCTGTAAGTCCCAGGGGCAAGCCCTTCACAGCACATGCTCTGCTTTCCCACCCTTTCTCAGGCCTCCCTCTTACAAGCGTCACTGTCACTACTCATGGAAGAATAAGCAGATCCAGAGGGAATTCCCTCAGCTCATCAGTGTCTGTGCTGGGCCCATCAGCTTCCCCAGCCCCTTGGCCTGCACCTGCCTCATTCCTGGCAAGTGCTCCAAGGTGGGGGGCTGGTGGCCAAGCAGTACCTGCTCCTGGGGGACACTGAGAAATGAGGTGGGACCAAGCCCTAAACCCATCTGAGTGGTGATGGTCCCGACCTGGGCGGGGGCACCCTGGGTGTCCTTGCCTTGGCTGTAGAGGGGGACCTTGGCCTTGCCAGCAGAGTAGGCTGACCCTGGCTGACTCAAGGTGTGGGGTGGACAGTAATGACCATGACCAGTATACTGGGAAGTCAGAGGTGTAATTACCCCGCCCCATGGTGCAGGGTGGCATTTGGGCAGCTGCTTCTGGGGCTGTAAGTGGGGTTGGGCCCGCACCTGTAGCTGATGCCTAAGGCAGGCCCCACCCAGGTCACAACACAACTGGCCCCTCATGCCTGCCAGGCCCAGCTCTGGGGTCGGAAGGAAGGAGGATCAGATCCAACATCAAGGCTGACAAGGAGAGAGGATCTCTAAAAGACATACCTGAGCGGGCAAAGCTGACATCCAGCAGAGCTCACACAGGCGGTATTGCTCAGGCCTGTCTGGGTGCTGTGGAGATGGCCCCACATGTGAGCCAACCCACCTCTGTGTGAGGTTTGGTGGTGCCCAGGCCTGGGACAGTGAGGGCAGGGCCCCGCCTACAGGGCCCACCCTGGAAAGGGAGCTTGGGAACTCCAGGCTCCATCTTCATTAACCATCAGGCTGGGAGAGAAGAGAACACTGGCTTTAGCCTCAGGGGCCCCAGCAGGGGAGCAAGCCCTGAGGTGCAACTGCCTGCCCTGTGCAGGGCTCCCCAGCTGCAGGGAGGGGCAGGCAGCCAGGGAGGGAGAGAGGCCCTGGCCTGGAGCCCGAGACCTGGCCCCATCACCAACTTGACAGGCAAGGTCTCTGTCCCTATGTGGGTCCCCAGGGGTCCTCCTGGTCTCACCGTGGCTGGGAGCTGAGGGCATGGCCAGGCCTGTTCTTGTCCTTGCCCAGAGGCTCCCGGATGGGAGGGGGATGGTCAGAGCCGTGGAGCTGCACCCTGCATGCCGGTATGTGGGCACACACTGTGTGGTTTGGGGTCCCACTGGACCTACCGCAGGTCCACTCATGTGTGTGCAACCCTGTGCAGGCCAAGGACAGCGATGATGACGATGATGTCACTGTCACCATGGACCGAGAACGCTTCATGGATGAGTTCTTCGAGCAGGTGGGAGCCAGCACACCCATCTCTCCCCATACACTTGCAGGCCTGGGGTGGCCGCCTCTCACCACCAAGCCAAGCAGGGCTCTTACACATCTGTGCTTGGCTCAGCAGCCTGGGGACACCAACTAGCGAACCCATGTGGAGGGGGAAATGATTGAAGCTCAGAGCAGTGTGGGATTGGTACTCCCCCACTCCTCCTACCCCTGTCTAGGAGGATGCTTAGGAGCAGCTACCCCAACCCTACACCCCACCGCCTGAAGCCTGGCCCATCCTCTCCCTGAGCCCTGACCATGGCCTGACTCTGGGCAGGCCCTGGCTCCAAGAAGCCTCCTTCCCAGATTTTCTCTGCTTGACCACCTGGCCTTGGTCTGCAGGTGGAGGAGATCCGAGGCTTCATTGACAAGATCGCAGAGAACGTGGGGGAGGTGAAGCGGAAACACAGCGCCATCCTGGCCTCCCCCAACCCCGATGAGAGTGAGTGTGGGGGGTGAGGGGCAGGTTCAGTCCCCACAGACCTCCAGGATGGGCTGCTGCCAGGGGGTCTCCTGGAACCCTAGCACCCTTCGTTGCTGATAGGCTGAGGGGTGCCTGGGCTGGCCAGGTTGGGGAGGGTTCCAGAAGCCTTAGGAAACACAACTGACCCAGGCCTGGGGTTGGGGGGTCAGTGCCCAACATCGCTGACCAGCAGATCCGGGTTTCATGCAAAGACTGGGTGGTGGGAGGGGCAGCCCTTCTCGGGCCTGGGTGGGGTCAGGTGCTGGCCCCACCCTCCCCAAGTAAACTGGCTTTTTTCTAAGGCCACAGGGCTGGCTACGGCTCTGGGGTTCTGGGAAGGAGGACAGGAGGGAGGGAAGGAGCTGTCTCTAATCAATAGGAGGCCTCTCAGCCCAGGCCCTCCCCTCCCTGGGGAGCAGATGGTGGCTGTGAAACGTCAGCACTGTGGGAGGGCAAGCTGGCCAAGCAGGCAGAGTTTCTGGAAAGAGCTGGCAGCCCTGGCACCTGGCCACTTGGTACCCCAGAACCACACATTCTCAGGACTCCAGGAAGTCACACCTGTCTCCCTCTGCACAGGGAACCTCTGCGTATCTGGATTCCACTCTGTCCCCAGACAGGTCCCCTGACCCAGCCCTCACGTTTCCTGTTGAGAGAGTGATCACTATGCTAATATGTGCCAGGCTGAATGCGTGCAGCCCTACCCGAGAGCCCCTCCCTGTAGGGGGAGGCTCATCCTCAGTCCCAGGGAGGCAGTGATTGCCCCCTAGGGTGAGGGCTAGGACAGCCACCTGAACTCAGACCGGGTGCATGCACCTGCCTGTCCATGCTGCTCCTCGTGGCTCACTCACCTCCTCTTCTTCTCCAGCTCCTTTGGAAGGCTCCAGCCTGTGGGGCCTGATAAAGCCCATGTGTTCAAGGGGGAATGGTCTGGCCACCCCGGTGCTGGTACCCAGGGTTGGATTTTATTCTCATCTCCAGCACTGCCTCCCTACCCATGGCTCTGACCCCCAGCCCACTGGCATCCTCAAGAACCCAGAATTAATCTTTCCACAGCCCCAAAGTGTGCTGGAACCAAGGCCAAGGCCACACCAACCAAGCCTGGTGCCAGTCCCTTGGAAGGCAAAATGGGTCAGGTGGGAACAAGGGAGACTGTCTCAGGAAGGGTCAGAAGGAGAGAGACCACGCAGGGCAGGGATACACCCAGTGCACCTATCACACTGTCCCTCTCCCAGATATTTGCTCAGGACAGCAGCATGTGATGTAAGTCTGTGCCCATGAGTATCTGGGTCACTGTGTGCCTGAGTGGGTTGTTCCCACTCAGGGTCAGGCGGTGGCTGACTTGCGGGAGAGTACTATAAAGAGCCGGGGAGCAGGCCTCTCACCTGCTGGAAGGTGGGGTGGGCATGGGGTGATGGAGTAGCTCGGCTCCCTCCCTAGGGTACCCTCATGCCACCTCCTGCACATCTCCCATGGTGTCACACACAGTCAATAGGGACCACTCAGTCTCCACCCATAAGATGAACAGTCAAGACCTGGCTGAGTACCAGGCACTCACCAAGGGAAGGGGGCTCCCCAGTGGGGGTTCCCGGGCAGAGGCAGAGCAGAGATAACAAGAGTCACAAGGAAAGGTGGCAGTGAGTGGGGGGCTTTCCTGGGCCAAAGCTGGCTGTGCCTCCTCTGGGGGCTGCCATCCGGCGTGGACTATTTTGGGTCTGAGCAAAAGAGGCTGAGACGTCAGAGCAGCTGGTAACCAAGTTTTCCTTTGTTCATACAAAAGAGGCACCCTCCTCCGCTCCTTGGAGCCCCCCGCTCCACCCCACTCACATTCCACTTGGGAGATGACCCCATCTACAGCTCCACACCCCTCCCCAATCCTCTCTGGGAGGAACCCCAGCCACAGAGGCAAGCAGAATGTAGTTTGAAAGGTTACATTCAGGAGCACAGTTTGACTTCTCCCTGGTTGGAGTTCTGGGGGCTGCCCTGAGGCCCGGGTGTTGCCAGGAGTACCCCAGGGGGAGGTGGCCAGCCAATCCTTCTCAGGGAAGGGCCTGTTCTGGGCACCCCTATGGCCTCTGTTGGCATTGGGGAAATGGTGCTAGCTGGAACAAGGGCAGAAACAGTATGCTACCATTCTTCCCCAGCTTCACTTCTCATAGGTCCAGCTGTCTGTCACCTCCAGGGTCAACCATGCCTGAGGGGGCCACCTCTGTGAACCTTTTCTCCCTCTGCCCCTGCACTTGGCTCAGCACCTAGGGAGGGCAACTTTGTGAATAGAACAGGGCCTGCCCACCCAAGGTGCTGGAGGCTGCCACCCTGGGCAGTGTGGGGACGGGGGAGGCTTCTGCCTCCCTGGCCCCATCAGCCCCTGGCTGGCTGCTCCCCCTCCTGAGCCACCAGGTAATGCTAGGTGAGCCCGCACCCCCCACCTTCGACTCAGGCAACTATCAAGTCAGTGTTCCCTGGTGCCAACTCCAGCATCGCCAGCTGCTCCACAATTATTTCTGCCTTAAATTTAGACCCATCTGTTATCTGCAGGGGGTGAGGGAGCCAGCGAAGGAGGAAGGGAGGCTCCTTGGAAGACGGCACAAGAGGGGGTGAGGCTGCAGCTGGTGTGGCCCTGGCCCAGAATTGGGGGGCAGGGAGCAGGCAGACAGAAACTTAGCCTGGGGAAGAGGGGAGACCTAGGACCTAGGGTCTGCCCAGAGCCCCCCACTGGGCCCCCTGTGCAAGAGACTGAGCCTGAACATCAGGCAGTGGGGGAACCCAGGGTGTCTCCCCCCACCCCTTCTACCTCCCCAGAGACAAAGGAGGAGCTGGAAGAACTCATGTCTGACATAAAGAAGACAGCGAACAAAGTTCGTTCCAAGTTAAAGAGTGAGTCAGGCTCCCGGCTGTGTCTGGGGGTGGTTGCGGGGCACTCTGTGTAGCTCATGGGGTTTCACTAACCCTCGGGGTATGATGGATCTTGCTTTCTTTTATGAGGGTGGTATCATGTGCCCATTCATTAACAGCTGCCTGGTAAGGCTGTTCATGCCAGGCTCTGGGCTAGGCCTAGGGACACAGGTGCCTGAGGCTTTGTCAAAGGAGCGCTCCACTGTGGACACCATCCCTCACTTCTGCTAAAGAGAATGACAGAAGTGGCCAGCATTTCCTGGTCCCATGCACTTGTGTGAACATAGACATGCACACTCCATGAAGGCCTAGGGGCCACATGCTGTACAGGTTGTGGCCATTTGGCCATCTCAACTCTGGGCAGGGCCCCTGCGCACAGCCTTTCTGGGCAGAAAGGGAACAGAACAGAGGCACAGGTAGCCTGAGCCCCCAGACCTAGCACACAGTAGGTGCTCACACACACAGAGCTTGGGGCCTGAAGCCTAGCAGGTCAGAGTGCGTTCATACACATGCACGCACCTACACACGCATCACAGCTAAAGGGCCTTTATTCATTGGCCCCTTATCCATCAGCATCTAGCACTTGGTCTGCCTTTGCTTCCTGTGACTCAGACCACACACAGAGCGCCCTCCCACATCCTGGGTGTGTGGATGGTGGGGGCTGGTGAATGGGGGTAGGTTATGGCTCAGCAGCCATGTATGTCCCCAGGCATCGAGCAGAGCATCGAGCAGGAGGAAGGCTTGAACCGCTCCTCGGCTGACCTGAGGATCCGGAAGACACAGGTGTGGGCTGCAATTCTGGGGTGGGCGGGCACCTGAGTCTCTGGGTCCCTGTGGGGCCTGACACCTGTACCCCCATCTCGGACCCCCAGCACTCCACGCTGTCCCGAAAGTTTGTGGAGGTCATGTCGGAGTACAATGCCACGCAGTCTGACTACCGCGAGCGCTGCAAGGGCCGCATCCAGAGGCAGCTGGAGATCAGTGAGCTTGGGGGTGGGGCTCGGGGCTGGAGGGGCAGGGCCTGGGCTGCTGCTGAGCACCCTGGAGAGAGCCAGGCTCAGTGTGACCCCCATTTGCAGCTGGCCGGACCACAACTAGTGAGGAGCTGGAGGACATGCTGGAGAGTGGGAACCCCGCCATCTTTGCCTCCGGGGTGAGTGTGAACATCATCACTGCTACCGTGACCCACCTACCATGTCCAACCTACCATGTCCCACCCCCCTACCCAGACCCCTAGTATGTGTGCATAGTGCTGGGATTGGGCAGAATTTGGCCACAGCCACCCTGTGAAGGAAGGTTTTAGAGAGGGGAAGGGACCAGGCTGAGGCCACATAAACATTAGTGGCAAAGGTTGAATCACAGCCCCTGTGTCCTGATGCCTCCCAGTTGGATCCACTTCCTTGCTGGCCTGACCGTTTGCCCATGGCTGAGGGCTCCCATCATCCTTGGGACCTTTTTTCCCTCTTGGAGGACATTTGGCTGTCTCTATATTCAAGTGAAGCTCTGTGCTCTGGGTGCTCCTGAGCAGGTGGTGCACAGTCACGGGAGGTAGGCTTGGGGGCGTGGGTTCCAGGAGGAGAGAGAGGAGGGGTAGTTAGTCAGTTTGGGAGAGGGGATGAAAGAAAGGTAGTTTGAGGCCTGGGTCCATGGAGCAGCAGCTTGGGCTCTGTCACATGCTGGTGTTAAGAACTGTCACTTACTGAGCACTTAGTATGTGGCAAGCACAGGTGGGGAGTGTTGTCAGCCCATACTATAAGTAGGAAATAGGATCACAGAGAAATTAGGTAACAACTAGTCAGCAGTAGAGCCAAGCAGCAAGGTGGGAAGGGCCAGGGCAAGGGAAGCCTCAGGCCCGGCTTCCTGAGCAACTCTGCCCACCCCAGCTGCCCTCCCCCTCAGCCTTCTGTCCGCCCCCCCGGCAGGGTCCTAGCTCACTGTTCCCACCCCCTAGATCATCATGGACTCCAGCATCTCCAAGCAGGCTCTGAGCGAGATTGAGACACGGCACAGTGAAATCATCAAGCTGGAGAACAGCATCCGCGAGCTGCACGACATGTTCATGGACATGGCCATGCTTGTTGAGAGCCAGGTGACTGCCCGGGTCCCCAGGTCCCCCCAGCCCAGCCCACAGCAGCACCTAGGGCTGCACTAACCCCTACCCTTTTTGCCTGACACGCTGCCCTGCCTGGGAGGGACCAAGTCCTCAGGTAACCAACCACCTGCTGTTGAAGTTGCCTCCAGGGCTCTGCCCACCTGAAGGACCCTCTCCTCTGCATGGCTCTGCTTGGCCCTCCCGGACCCCAGGCCCTGCATGGCCCCACCCACCTCCACCCAGCCCTGTCCTGCCTTGTCCACCAACTGTTTAGCATGGGCCACTGTGGTCCAGATGCTCTTCTAGCAGCTGGAGATGTAGCAGTGACCAGGACAGCTGAGGGGTCTGCTTCCCAGAGCAAATTGCTACTAGGTGAAAGGGCAGCCTAAGTAAAGAACAAATGGAACATTCTCCAGTGGTGCCCGGAGCTCAGGAGACATTAGAAGGAGGCACTGTGCTCAGGCTTGAAAGTGCCTAAGAATCACCTGGAGGGCTTATTGTAATTTTCTAGGTCCCCACTCCCAGACTGGCAGGTCAAGCTGGAGGCCCATGAGCGCGCATTTCTAACAAGGTGGTGCCAGTGCTGTGGTCTGAGCACACCTGGAGTAACGCTGTTAGAATGACTCCTTGGATGGAGTAGTCAGGAAAGGCCTTTCTGAGGAGGGGGCATTTGAGCTAATACCAAAAAAAGTGAAAAGAAACCAGCTATGAAGACTTCCCAGGGAAGAGTGCGGAGCTGGCCCCAGGCAGAGAGACCAGCAACACCGAAGACTTATTTGAGGAGCAGAAAGGAGGTCTGTGCGGCTGGCACACAGGGAGTGGTCGGAGCTGAGATGAAATTGGAGACGAGGTGGATGGGGCCTTGGCAGGCGGTGCTGGGGCATTTGGAGTCTCTTCTAGATTGGAGTTTTAGTTGTTGGAGTGCCTGACCTTAGGAAGTAGGAAGGCCATGAGGAAGCTCCTGCTGCCATCCTGGTGATAGCCAGACCATGGTGATGTGGACAGCAGTGAAAGCTATGGACTTGGAGACATGCTTTAGGGGTCTTGTGGGACAGTGTCATGATCAGATTAGACTCGGGGCAGCATGGGACCAGGTTGCAGGGCCCCAGAGGGCTGTGGGGTTGGGCAGAGGGGGTCTTAAAGGTTGAAGACTACAGATAGCCAGAGCTGGACAGAATCATATGCCTGAGGAGGCTGGCATGGGGGATTCACCTGTGGTTACTTTTTGTGAGCTATGGCCAAGGCAGGCTCAGGCTCCAGCCACCCACTCCTGTCCCTGTCGTCCTCTGCCTGGCACTGTCCTCTGTCTAGTGCCAGGCATAGGGAGTCAGCAAGGCCCCAGCTGAGAGTTCTCTGCATGGTCCCAACCCCTTGGCTGAGACTGCATGGCCAATTCCACCCCCAGGATGGCTGCTGTGCAGGGAGAAGTGGGAGCTGCCCTGGGGAGCCTACAGTGCCCTCTTACACCCTGCCCAGATTGCCCAGCCTGGTGAGCTGTACCCCATTGTCCTCACACTGCCCTTTTCTCTCTAACCTCAGGGCACTTTCCCGAAGTCCTGTCCTGAGCCAGGGGTCCCTCTTGAGCTCGGGTACCCCTGGCCCTGCAGGGGGAGATGATTGACAGGATCGAGTATAACGTGGAGCACTCGGTGGACTATGTGGAGAGAGCCGTGTCTGACACCAAAAAGGCCGTCAAGTACCAAAGCAAGGCGCGCAGGGTCAGTAGCCCTGGCTCTACCTGAGCCCACATCCCAGCACCCAGTAGAGCCCCCAGACCATCCCACATCCCTCCCCGCTCTACCTCTTCGAAGCTCTGACCAGGATCTTCACCTCGCCACTACAACTAATCTCGGACCATCACCTTCCCCACTTTTAGATCCCCCAGACTCTCCAGCCTTCAACCCCCATTATAGTCTCTCCCCAGCTTCCATCCCCCACTCTGTCTGAGGCCTCTCCTTCTCACTCCCTGTGCAGAAGAAAATCATGATCATCATCTGCTGTGTGGTCCTGGGCATTGTCATCGCCTCCACCTTTGGAGGCATCTTTGGATAGAAACCACCCCACCTGCCACTCCGTTCTGGATGGGCCATCCCAGGAGGCCCCTGGCTGCTGCCGCCTGGCTGAGCTGCTCTCCCCAACCCCACCTTCTGGCTCAGAGCACCCTCCCTCCCTCCCTCCCACCCTGCTCTGAGCCTTGTCGTATGCATGATTGTTGTAACAGTGTGTGTCTGTACAGAAGAGGCAGAGGGGAGTGGGGCCAGGAAACAGCCAGGGGGGTGGGGATGGGTCAGCAAGGGGCAGACTCAGGCCCTGGCCCAGGCTGCCCCACCCTCACCAGGCAGGGCTGCCTAGGGTGGCACATGCTGCCCTTCTTCGTTCTTGGTAACTCCACTTCAGTAACTCCTGGGGCCTGCCCTTTCCTAAGATCAAGGCTTTCTCTGGACCCCAACCTTGTCTCTAACTGATGTGCCCATCTGTCCTGTTCTCTGGCCTCTCCAGCTGTCCCAAGCCGAGCCCCCTGAGGGGTGGGGACCAGCTGGCCACATGGTGCTGCTTTTCAGGTTAGGGGAGGGGAGGCCTTGAGGGACAGCCCAGCTCTAAGCCTCTAATAGCTGATCACTGCCAGGAGGCTCAGGGTGTCATGGCTTCTGGCCACGTCAAGACCAGACTCCCCTACCTAAGGCAAAAGTCCAACAGGCCTTCAGCCTCATCTTCCCTACCTACATTCCTATAGCCCCAGGAGAAACCCCTTTGGGCTAAGCCTGACCCCAAGTGACCCTCTGCTCTAGCCACTCTTGGATTTAGGGAGGCAGAGCAGGCTGCAGTAAGGCCTCTGCCCTGGCAAAGCCAGCAGCCTGGGCCAGCTGCAGTCTCTGGCAGGCATCAGTTGGGTCCTCAAGCCAGTGTTGCATGTTTGGGACAGTGGTCCCTGCTCTTGTGCCCTGGGAAGTCGGATATCACTCCAGGCCTGCAATCTCATCCTGCCCTTGCTGTCCCCCACTGATGTGCCACATGGGTGTCAGGTGTCTCAGATGCAGTATTCAGCAGCCAGCCAGCGAAGGCTACCTTCCTCCTTCCTGCCATTTTGGGGCTTTTCAAGTCAGAAACGTGCCCTTACCCTAAGACCCTTCTTCCTCGTTGACAGGCAAGGAGTGTGCATGCGAGTGCATGCAGCAGGGGATGGGGCCATGTCTGTGCCCCACCTTCCCTCAGCTTTGCTCCTGCCGTGACTCTGACCACTGTCCGTGTTGCCTTCTCTAACAGCAGTTCCCTCCCACCCACATCCCTTCACCAAAGGTCTTGGTACAACCAGCTGCCCATTTTGTGAAATTTTTATGTAGAATAAACATTTGTATCTGTACCAGGCCTCTGCTCTAGATTTCTTATTGTCAAAAGAATCTGATACCTGGGGGAGACCCCACCCCTTTCCCAGACAACTAGGCCCTCTAGCCCATCCTTGAATGTCTTAGCTCCTGCTTAATACTGTGCTGGCCAGATTTAGTCACTCTTCCAACCAGAGGTCTCAAGCAACCACTAGATCTCTCAGCATGCTAGACAGTCCCCCACATCCCAGAGTGGGACTACTTTTCTAACCACTAGTGACTGGGCTGGTCAGTGGCTGACCACGCAGCTCAGCACCAGAGTTCAGCCCAGGGCTCCTGGGCAGGGTAATGTCTTCATGCCAAAGGGAAACCAGAAACTGGGCAGAGGCATCAGGCCAGTGGGTACCACGAACACATTTTATCCCGATTCTACTCCCCAACTTGCCTAGTGGTATTATAACATATATAACATATAGTTACATATATCAAGCCCTAAATTAATCTACCTGGGTTCCTTGCAGATTAAAATGATGCCTCTATATATTTAAGTTCTTTAACCCTAATTCTTGACTGGAAGGTCATGTAATAGCCTCCACCCACAGAGGAACCCAAAACATTTGGTTAGGATCACAGAGCTGGGACATGCCAGAGCCAGAGTGCTACAGAAAGTCATTTATTTGCTTTCAGAACAAAATAAGATGTTCTCAGAACTTTTTTTAGTGAAGAAAATACGTTTAGAACTTTAGAACCTTTCTAAAATACTATTTTGCCAGCTGAAGTAAAGACATCAATATAGAAAACTCTCCAGAGACAAGTGCCTGGGCTGCACAGCACAGTTCACAACTGTGTAGCCCCAGAGCTGTCCCACCAGACACAGCTACTGCTTAAAAGCGGGGCTTGCGCTTGCGGCCGGTGTACTGAGTGTCAGGTCTGACTTCCCTGTGCGAAGAAATAACAGAATAGTCTCAGAAAGAAAGAACACAGAATACCCTGGGACCCTTTCAAATGCAGGTGAGCCCTTAGTGGCAATAGACACCTGCCCCCCTTTCCACCTCCTCCCCTGCGGCCTGTCCCCAGCCCCGTACTCACTTGCCCTGACGCCTGCGGCGCTCCTTCTTCTCCAGCACCCACTCTCGGCTCTTTCTCACCAACCGCTGCCGCGCAATCCTGTACGGGACCCTGTGCCAGAGACAGCTATGAGCTGATGGATGGGACTGCCTCCTGGCACCCACATTAATCCAGGCAGGGAAAAACGGTGAGTGTCCCTCAAGTTATGTAGCCTCAGATACCATTTCTTTCAAATGCTTCATCTTGCCTTGTACAACACAAGTCCCCAGTCTGGACACCCTCCTTCCTGGTACCATCCACTGGAGTGAAGCAATTGTAGGAGAGACAGAGGTGAGGCCATGCTCACTCGCAGGCATCTTTGTGGGAGATGACCACCTGCTGGGTGTGTGTATATCCTGCCTGTGGGGCAGGCAGAGTGCCGTGCTACTTTTGGGGCAACTAGGCCAGGATCAGCTCATGAAAGCCTGGCAGTGCCCAAGGAAAGCCAGAGATCCCATGCCCGGTGCTGCCACTTGAGGGTCTAGTCTGGTTTGGGGGTCAGCATGCCTGGCATAGATCCAGTGAGGGCTCCCAGCAACTACAAATGTCTGAGGTAGGAAAACAGGGCTGCCCAGCTTGTGGCAGTCCTGACAATGATCCTCAAGGGCTGATGTTGGCCTCCAGCCCTGGCTGAGGAGAAAAAGGACTACCCACAGCCCCATAGGAGAGAGGCCCTGAAAATAGGGTGAGCCTGGGCCTCGCCCTTCAAGAGCCCATGACAGGGACCATCCCCACTAGGCAGAGCAAGTGCAGAGAGGCCCAAGAACTGCTGAGGGAATGCCAGGAAGGACAAGCACAGAGATGACTTGGTGATTGCACAGGCAGGGGGCCGGGGATGGAGGTGCAGCAGCCCAGGCAATATATGGGAAGGAGACACTGTGGAAGGACTGAAGGGAAAGGCAAGCCAGGCCAGTTCACAGAGGTCTGAATGCCAGCGAGGAGTTTATTCTCCCTTCAGTAACGAGTGGGAACCATGACTTTTTTTTTTAACCAATGCAATGACATATCCTTATCTAGATTTAGAGTGCACAGACACAACAGTTCATGAGAGGAACTTCGGAGGGCCCACAACTAGGGAGCAGGAAGACAGGGATGGAAAAAAGGGACTGAAAAGGAATACTGAGGGGTGTGAGGGAAGGAGGAAAGAGGACTGGAATCCCAGGAGACCCTGTGATAGTCCAGAGAAACCAGTGTGGGGATGAACACCAGAGTCTGATGGACCAGGTGTAAAGCAGGAGACAGGTACAAACTCAGGGCTGGAAACACAGGAGGATTAATCCCAAAGAATCTATAAGGAAGTACAAACTGTGGGCACAGAGTGGTGGATAAGGGGCAAGACTGGAATGAGAGAAGGAACAATGAGGAAAAGTCATCAGGGGAGGTAAAGGGAGCAGGTGAAGATGGTGCCTCAAACCACAGGTGCAAAGAGACTGGCAAGTGCCAGGTGTAGACCGAGCCTTTCAGAGGAGCAGATGAGGGGGGTTAGGGAGGAGGCCAGGTGGCAAGGATGAAGGAATGCACCTTGAAACAAAGTTATGCAAATTTTTTTTTAAATGCAGATTAGAGATAAATTAGGTAAATGTTTAAAACACTTTTTCTTAATTAACCTATTTCTTTCTTTTTTTTTTTTTTTTAAAAGATGACCGGTAAGGGGATCTTAACCCTTGACTTGGTGTTGTCAGCACCATGCTCACCCAGTGAGCAAACCGGCCATCCCTATATGGGATCCGAACCCGTGGCCTTGGTGTTATCAGCACCACACTCTCCCGAGTGAGCCACGGGCCGGCCCTTAATTAACCTACTTCTTTATAACAATTGTCCTGAACGTGATTAGACAGAAGTGACAGTAACGGAAGCAGCGGATTATCCTCCCTTTCCTGCACAACAAGGTGCATGGCCAGGCACTGTACAAACATGAGTCCCACATACACATCATCTCTACCCTCAACACACTGCTAAAGTGGGTGCTGTTCTCCCCCCTTTTTAAATAGATGAGGAATGGAAGCTCAGGTCATTCAACTTACCCGAGTTTACAGTTAGGACATGTCGCCTGCAGACACTGGCATGAGGACAAGAGGGATCCTAAGATGCATGGAGGGAGTTAACAACTTGTCCTTCCTCTGTGAAGCAGGAGACAGGACCACTCACTGGGAGCAAGTGATGGGCACCATACAGCAGAGAACATTTAGAAGAGCCCCCAGTTCCTCATGGGGAATGGGCTGGGAAAGCTGTGAGAAGTGACTGCAGAAGGCTGAGGGGTCAGACAGCATCAATCTGTGGTGGGCACGAGGAGCACACACAATTTCCAGCACTGTAGACTTTCCAAACCCATTCACTCTGCACGCTCTTCCTCTTAAATGGCTTAAAGGTCTTAAAACCTTTCCCTCACCTCAAGCAGAACGAAGAAATAACTCCCCCTTCACTATCTTATAATCAATTATTCATTCAACAAATACTGAGCACTTTTCACTAACAAGATACTACTCTTGATGTCAGGGATATAATACCAGTTCCCACCAAGTTTTCCATAGTTGGAGATAGAAATGATAACCAAGTAAACAAGTATATATGATTTAGAGCAGTGGAAGGTATTAAGGAGAATAAAGAAAGGTAAAAGGATTCTACTGAAGATACTGAGCAGAGAAACAGGAAGAGGTAGACACAGCAGGGAGTCAAGGTAGGCAGTTAGCTATTCGGTAATCCAAGCAAGGAGTGGTGGTGACTTAGACTAGCTGAAAGTGGGGAAAAGGTTCAGAATTGGGATACACATTGAGGCAAAGCACAGCAGGACTTGCTGATGGACTGACTGACTGAGAGACAGAAGGAAAAGACAGGAATGAATGAGAAAGGTAAAGAATGGGGAAGGAAGCTGGGGGTGAAAACAAGAGCTGTTTTGTCTGAGGTACCTGTGGGAAGTCTGGGTAAAGATACTGAGGAGGCAGCTGGGAAATCAGAGGTGTGGTTGAGACTAAAGATATAAATTTGGAAGTTATGAACTTATGCTTAGTAGTTAAAGCAGCACAGATAGAGAAGGGGCCCACCTTGGGCCCCAAAGGAGCAACCAGCAGTAGACTGAGAAGGCATGGCCAGTGAGGTTAAGAGAAAGCTAGGACAATGGGTAAAAGGCCAAGCAAAGACTGTTAAGCGAGTGATCGGTTCCTTTTGTACCAAATATATCTAGAAAGAAAAAAAGGGGGAGTGATCAGCTGTCTCAGATCCTACTGATCAGACAGGATAAAGACGGAAAAGAAAGACTGAGCAACAACCACATATTGGGCAAGATGGAAATTGGTGGTGGCCTTGACAAGAACAATTTTTTTTTTTTTGTCTTTTTTGAGACCAGTCGCACCGCGCTCAGCCAGTGAGCGCTGTGAGTGCACTGGTCATCCCTATATAGGATCTGAACCCGCGGCGGGAGTGCTGCTGCGCTCCCAGCACTGCACTCTCCCCAGTGCGCCACGGGCTCGGCCCGACAAGAACAATTTGTAATGAGACAGAAATGTGAGCCCAAGGGCCAACCCGTGGCTCACTCGGGAGAGTGCGGTGCTGATAACACCAAGACCATGGGGTTCGGATCCTATATAGGGATGGCCGGTTCACTCACTGGCTGAGAGTGGTGCTGACAACACCAAGCCAAGGGTTAAGATCCCCTTACCGGTCATCTTTTAAAAGAAAAAAAAGAAAGAAACGTGAGCCCAAGAAGTGAATTGAGAGAATGGCAGGAAAGGGAGCCAGAAGAGGCAAGAATAAGGAGTATGCTGTTATAAAGGGAAGCAGATAAAAAGGGTGGTAACTAGGGATTGTTATGGAATTAAGGAAGAAGAACCTTTTCTAATACGGGAAACACTATGCAGCATGTTTGTGTGCTGATGGGAATGACCCAGGAGAGTAAAGACAAGAATGCAGGAGAGGGAAAGGAGAGCCACAGGAGCCCAGAAGGGATGTGGTCCAGGACACAGGTGGAGGAGGGCAGCATCAGGGAAGGCAGGAGACAGACTGCCAAGCATGGTAAGAGGGAAGCAACAGCAGGGGGACTATGCAGCTCACAAAGCGAGTTAAGGCTGCATGCCACCCACAGACACCAGAAGGGCCCCAGCCCCCAAGACAGAAGCAGGCACAGTCCAAAAGGGGTGTCCAACTCTAACACACATTGGTATTGGTATTACTACTGCATCTATACCTGAGGACCCAGGGTGAAAGGAGAGAGACACCCTGTCTAGGAAGCGTGCAGCAGGGCTCAACAACTACGTTACCTTCTATTAGTGAACATGGACTCCCTGGCCTCTTCTCCATCCTCATCTTCTTTCAGTCCCTGCAGGAACCAAAGTGCTATTCAATCATCCTGGAGATCTCTCAACCCATCTGCCCCATTCCCGAAGCCTGGGCACCAGGCCTGAGCCCTTCTAACAGGTACAAGGCCCAGTCCCACAAGAAGGAACTGACACTCTTTTCTGAGACCTGGAAAGCAGAGGTCTCTGCCTCCAGATTCCAGAGGATTTAGACATGCCAGGCTCTGTACTCTGGAGCTTGGGCCTGCTTTACCACCAGTGTTCTCCTAGCATGTTTTTCAGGCTGAACCCCACTGTTTAGAATCCAAAAGACATGGGCCTGCCCACCCAGTGTCCCTCACCATTGGTATAGAAGTTGAAGGCCCGGAAAACAAACAGAGGTAGAACCTGAAACAAAAAAGTACAAAGTGAGAACTGGGCTCATAAAGACTGGTGGGGCAGACAAGTCTTTGCCCCCTATCTCCTGCCTACCTGAGCCATGGTGACCCACCCCAGCACTAGTCTGGTCCACTCAGTGGCCCAAAAGAGCCACACCACTACCCTCTCTCCTGCAGCCCAGGCAGCACACTAGCCCCCAGCACTCACTTCTTTGCTTTGGCACTGTTGGGGTAGTCCACCACCACACCACCGGTGAAGCCAGCCTTTGTGGCCTGGGTAGTGATGAACTCCAACTGAGGAGATAAAGGCAGTGAGTCAGGCACAGGAGGCTGGAGGAGCAGCCAACCACACCTCCACCCACCTTAAAAAGCCAGTCTGGGACCAGCCTGTGGCTCACTTGGGAGAGTGCGGTGCTGGTAACACCAGGGCTAATGGTTTGGATCCCTACATAGGGATGGCCCGTTTGCTCACTTGGGAGAGTGTGGTGCTGACAACACCAAGTCAAGGGTTAAGATTCCCCTAGCAGTCATCTTAAAAAAAAAAAAAAAAGGCAGTCTGCCCCCAGGATGGATCCTCCCTGAGAAAAGAAAGGTCCACTTCATTAGGCTTTTCCAGTTCTGAGTACCCAAAAGCCACGTAGAGGAATGTGCGGCAGTCTGCCCCCAGGATGGATCCTCCCTGAGAAAAGAAGGTCCACTTCATTAGGCTTTTCCAGTTCTGAGTACCCAAAAGCCACGTAGAGGAATGTGCAGCCTAGAACCAGTAATGGCACACGCCTCTCTCAGGGGAATTACAGAACAAAGCAATTCCCCTCATTCTCTCACTTTCTAGTTCAGGGACCCCTTCACCTACTCAAATCTCAGGAAATGAATGGAAACCAATTGGGAGCAAGACTCATTCATGCTATTAGTAAGGAACAGCTTAGCACTTGTCTTTCAAAGTCTATAGTTCCGAATTCCTAACTCATTATACTTCACAAGAACAGAAACTGCTGATGTTCTCTCACCCTCCCCAGCATTTATTTATTTGGTTATGGACATCAGTAATATCCCATCACATCATCTGTAACACCATCTAGTCTTTCAAGAGAAGACAAACATCCTACTCCAAGCCCGCAAGATACCACCCCTCTTAGGATATCAGGTCATCAAACCTGATATGACCCATTAGGGGCCATAGGGACCACTCTAGGGTGCTCCTTTCCCACCAATCAGCACAAGGTTCCTTCTTCTGTCACTTCCCAACAGCAAGAGGGCAAGTGAGTGAAGAGCAGGACAACTTACTTGCTCTGGGTCCCTCCCTCTTCCCTGTACCTCCACTATGTAACCAATGGGCTCACCTGCTCTGAGTTCTCAGGGTACAGCTGTAGGACAGCTCGGGCTCCACGGACCTGTAAACAACAGAAATGTCACAATCTTACAAATACCCCATGTGGTCAAGACGTACACACTCTTCCCTTCCTTCATTCACAATATTTATTGAGCTCCCATTTTGTGCAAGGCACTGTTTTTATGGCTGGGGACACAGTCATGAACAAAAAAGAGAGCCCCTGTACTTGCAGAGCTCATGTTTTAGTTGGGGAGGTAACTGATTTACAGTAGTGATAAGTTCCAAAAAGAAAAATAAATTGGGACAAAGAGATGGAGAGTGACAGACTGTTCAGTTTACTTTTGGTTCAAGAAAGGCCTCTCTGAGGGACACTTGAGCAGAGACCTGAATGTAGTGGGGAGCTGGCTATTTAAATGAGGAAAAAGCATTTCAGCAGAGAGAAGGGCAAACACAAAAGGCCTTGAGAACTTCAGGATTAAGCCCAGCATGTAAGTGGGAGAAACAACGTAAAGTTCAAAACCAGCCGCCAGCCACCAGCAAGAAAAATACATCCTAGAAAAATTTGAGGTGGGGTGAGGATGGGACTAAAGAGGCAAAAACACCTGGGTCCTCCAAAAAATAACTCATTTTTAGGACTTTGAATCTCAAACTATCATCTTATCCTAGTGAACAAATGAAATCAACACTATCAGTTATGAAGACAAGATAAAGCTCTCTCAGTGTTAAATAACCATCCTGCCCCATCTGAGGAAACATCAGCAGTGGGTGGAGGGAAGAGTAGGAAGTCAGAGGATGTGGGCACTAGAAGGTGTTCTCTGTGTGGCCTCGACATGACATCTCTGTCCTTGCTCTGCTCAGTTCATGACTCCAAACCAACTGATTAAAATTCAAATTCAGCATAGTATTCCAGGGTCAAGGGTTCAGATCCCCATACTGGCCAGCCACCAACGAAAAAAAAGCCTCAGCATAGTAGACACAGGAATTGTGGTCAACAACAGAAGTAGGCCCTATTCCAAATTAGTAAATTGGTCTCAACATTTGACATCAGTGTCTTCTGGGTTCGATTAGAGAGTGTCAGCACACTGAACTTGAACTTCTGTTTAGGCCGAGGGCCTGAACAGAAGTAACCACAATAAGGTCCTGCCACTCCATGCAGCCCCATCTGAGTGGCCTTCCCATCATGTAACATCTTCACCTTCACCACTCTACCTGCAGTACAAGGGAAGGACAGGCAGCCAGCCCAGATGGAGATCTCATACTTACGAGAACAGAATAAAGAGAAGAAAAAAAGCAGTACAGGCGCTTGGCAGGGTTGTCGGACTTCTTGTTAGCAGTACAGAGCCATTGCACAGCAGAAATGCTAAAAAGGAAGGGACCTAGTCAGGAGATTAATCCACATTGCTTCCCCCAGACTCCTCAAGACTCTGAAACCATCCATCATGGATCTCCCAGTGACACCCTCCTGCCCACAGCTCCCCCTTTTGGAAAGCGCGGGGACACTCCAGATCACTGCTCTGCAATACTGGGCCAAACAGCCTTGAGAGAAGGGCAGCATTCACTTCCTTCAGCCAGTCCAAGAAAACATTTTTTCAACCTTGTTTCTACACGCATCTTAAGTTAAAAATTACTCAGTTTGTCAAGGGTGTCTCTGCTCACCTACCCCTACATTCCCTTCCTCCAATCAAAGGCAACATGCTTTACAGTATTTACACAGAGCCATTGATTCACCCTCCTAAATCATTTCCTTCTACTGTTGCTGTTAAGTGTCTTCGCAATCCTCAGATTTAAAATCTCAAGGAGTTACTGCGTCCTCCTTCTTGGTCTCCCCTCACTTCTGTGCACACACACCCTCAGAAACCCACCCCACACCCACTGGCTAGTCCAATGGCCTCTCCCAGCTCTCACTTTGCTCCACTCACTGCATCTTGAATGCTGTCAACCTAACTTACCGCTACTCTCTCTTCCACCAGAAAACAACGCTCCTCTCTCTTCCACCTGAAAACACCCCTCCTTAAACACACATTCCTGTCACTCCCCATTACCTACTGAATAAAGCTCAAACCTCTTATGATGCAGTTAAAAGCCTTCTAGGAATTGACCCCACACAATCTCATCTCCCATGAAATCTCTCTTTCATCTATGATCCATGCCTTTGCTCACACTGTTCCTCCACTCAGAAACCCTCTCCTTGCCTATCCAAATTCCTTCCAGCCTTTAAGGCCCAGCTCCTCACCTTCTCAAAGCCTTCCTGGGCCCTCTTGTTCCTCTTCACAACTCTGGCGGGCCTCATGACTCCCCAGTGCACACCCCACACTCAGCCTTGTGTTTAGTTGCCTGGCCCGTGTTTTACAGCACTTAATAAACCGTGAATAGTGTTAAAAGCAGGAACTGAGTTTTATTTCCACATACTCCACAGCACACCTTGTATGATGTCTTACATATAGCAGATGTTTAAATATTAAAAAAAAGCTTGCCACACCATCTCTCCCCTTAAACACAAAAAGTGACTATTTACTCCTACAACATACAGATCATACCACTGGCCTTTGGTTTTTTGCAGCTCAGAACACCTCATCCAATCATTACTAAAAAGCAACTGCTACCCTTGAAATGTTTTTCCCCCACTGTCTTGTTCCCAGATGTAAGAAAATCTTCAAATCCAAATGTTTACTCCTTACCCAGATCCCTACTCTACATCCCTACCACTCAACCCAGGATCACTGAAGGTCTTCCCCCAACCTCCCCTATACCCTATCTCCACTCCCATCAACCAAACACAAGAACAAATACTAAACATAACTTAATGCAGAAAACAAAAACAAAACTTCATGTTTCTAACAATTTCAACATTTTAAAATCTGTTATCAAATGCTCAAAAGTTGACCCTGATGACTGAGAAAAGACTCCGAAGTCAATTAAGAAATTAGAGGGCCGGCCCCGTGGCTCACTCGGAGAGTGCGGCACTGATAGCGCCGAGGCCATGGGTTCGGATCCTATATAGGGATGGCCGGTTCGCTCACTGGCTGAGCGTGGTGCAGACCACACTGTGCCGAGGGTTGTGATCCCCTTGCCAGTCAGGAAAAAAAAGAAAGAAATTAGAGCAGTCCAGGCTGCTCTCCACTAGTTCATCCAAAAAAAAAAAAAAGATGGCTGCCAGGGCCCACAAATTGGCTCCTAGAGGCTCAGAGACCACCTCCCCTCCCCGCAAACACAAAGCAGACACAGAATCCATAACAGTGTTGCCTCAACCTGACAATGCAAAATGATCACAGGAATAGACAGTTTTGAAATACAAAATAACCCACACATATTCTTGGGCCTTGCTCTGACCGTATAAATCCGAAAATTCCAGGGGATGTATACTTTTAAGTATCTTGTGTGACACTGCTTCACAGCCAGGTTTGGGAAGCACTGTCCTGTAGGACTAAAAGCAGGAGGCGAAGACCCTCACCTGATACAACCATCAAAGGAGCCTGGTTTGAAGGGGATGCCCTGGCCCATGTCCCCCAGAAGCAGGTCTCCTGTCATTTCTCGATCCAAGGCTGCATCTACGTTGGAGAAGAGGGAGTCGGGGAAACAGACGATATGTATAGCTGCTCCACACTCATGAGGGTAGCCCACCCCAGTGCCAAACAGGACATACTTACCAAGCATGGCAGGGCTGACGTCGATGCCCACCCAATAGTGTCCCTCATCTGAGAGATAACCTCCACTCAGCCCAGAACCACAGCTGGAAGGCACAATCATTCAGGGACTCAGTGTGAGTAGCAAAGATGCTCCCCCTCCTAGACAATCTGAACCAGACCACAGGATCTCACCCAATATCCAAAAGGTAACAGGGCTGACCCTCAGGCAGATAAAGGAGTTCCAATGCTCGCCCAGCCATCTTGGTCTGGACATCAATCATCCGTGAGCTGGGAAGGCAGAAACAAAAGTGCATGGTAAAGGAGTTCCAGGCTAATACCTCCCCCAGACCAAAAAAAGCCAAGGAAAGAAAAAAAGAATAATCATCCCAAGATGCTCTTTTCTGACCTTTTACCTGGTAATTCTACCTTGGAATCAACAAATTTATTCACAACTATTTAAAACTGACCCCAAAAGTCCATGTAATACAGCAACATGTTACTTTGTTGTGACAAAAATTCAAGTTTACCAGCTGCAAACTTGATAAGAAGCAAATCACTTGGCTAATGACCAACCATTGGGTATCTGTAACTCTTTAAGGCTTTGATGGTCAACTGCTTGTTAAAAACATATTTTCTGGGGCCGGCCTGTGGCTCACTCGGGAGAGTGCGGTGCTGATAAGACCAATGCCACGGGTTCGGATCCCATATAGGGATGGCCGGTTGGCTCACTGGGTGAGCGTGGTGCTGGCAACACCGAGTCAAGGGTTAAGATCCCCTTACCGGTCATCTTTTGAAAAAAAAAATAAAATAAAAACATATTTTCTGGAAAATTATCTACCCACTGTAGTTACTCTCATATTTAAGGATCAACAATGCACAACGAAAACCTATAGCAGTGCTGTCCATGAAAAATATCACGCAAGCCACATGACTTTCTGACAGCCACAGTTAAAAAAGAAATAAGGAAAATAAATGGTAATGATAGTTCACTTAACCCTGTATATCTAATAACACATTTTATTTAGCCCAATATGCCCAAAATATTATTACAACATATAATAAAAAAAAATTATCAATAAGATATTTTACATTTCTCCATACTAAGTCACTCAGACTAGCCCCATTTCAATAGATGACTATTGGCTACCATAGTATATCTGGCCCTGCCAAGATCAAAGGAAAGAACCACACTAAAAGTTTTCAAAAATGCCTAACACAGGACTCTGCAGCTGGAAAAAAAGTTCGTATATGATACACAATGTCGATTGTGCCAGAAATTTTTGCTGACCGTCTGTGTCTTGGACTCCCATTTGAACGGAAGGGAGAATAAGTATTTGTAGAATTTTCTACAGAGTACCATATTGGAAAGAGCAGGCTTGGAAGTCACTGTTAAACTTTTATCTGTCAAATGATTTATACAAATAACTACCCTCTATGAAATTTAGACAATACCTATACCAACGGTTGTCACAGAGTAAGACGATGTAAATAGGGGGACACTAAGCATTCCATAAATCGTAGTTCCTCCCCCCCAACACCCAATAGCACTGCCCCCTTACGCGTATCCACTGTTACTGCGTATTTTGCCACACGCTTAAAACAAGCTGTTGCACTAAACCTTGAAAACCACCTAGGGAAGGTAGGCATGATCACCCTTGCTTTAATACTAAGGTTACCGAGACCAGAGGCTTCGAGCACTGACCCCTTACGCGTATCCACTGCTTACTGCGTATTTTGCCACACGCTTAAAACAAGCTGTTGCACTAAACCTTGAAAACCAACTAGGGAAGGTAGGCATGATCACCCTTGCTTTAATACTAAGGTTACCGAGACCAGAGGCTTCGGTGGTTTCTTTTTTTTTTTTTTAACAATTCATTAGTTTTATTTTTCAGGGGGCTTAAAGTTGACTACCAGTGGCAGAAATAGCACCAAGCTACGCCCCTCCCTACTCCCACTCCCAAATTCTACACGCTTTCCAAGCGATGCCCATCATCAGGGCAACTTGCCGTTCCCGACCCCCGACGCCTCGCAATATCCAGGCTCCCCTCACTTGCGAACGTATTTCCGGGCTTCATTCTTGTCGTAAAACTGCGGGAAAGAGAAATAGCAGGTACAGTGAAGAGTCCGGGCGGGGTGGCTCCAGAAAAGAAGAGAGGGGTGGCCGCGGGCCACAGGCCTCACCAGTTCCGGGGGCCCACCATGCTCGGGTCTGCGGACGCGAGACGCCATACACCCGCCTCAGCAGCACGCCTGCTACTGGCGTCTTCCGGGAGCCGGCTTTTATATCATCAGCCCCGCGACCTCCTCGTAATGCGCACGCTCCACCTTCTCCCCTCCTTCCTTTTCACTTGATTGGCTATAGGGCCGAGGCACTGCACACAACCCGCCCCTCCTATTGGCCAGTTCATCGTGCACCGCGCCTCTGATTCACTCAAGATGGCAGCCACGCTCGGTCTGAAGCGGCCGCGGCTGATACCATGGAGGTTATGGCAGGCGTGGGGAGCTCCACAAGATTCGACATCGGGCCTGGGCCTGGGAGCGAGGACTTATTCCCGGGGCGACGGCCCATACTCGCGCACGGTGCTCTATGAGCTGCTCGGCGTCCCTTCCACTGCCACACAGGCGCAAATCAAGGCGGCCTACTATCGGCAGAGCTTCCTCTATCATCCCGACCGCAACTCGGGGAGCGCCGAGGCTGCCGAGCGCTTCACGCGCATCTCCCAGGCCTACCTGGTGCTGGGCAGTGCCACACTCCGTCGCAAGTATGACCGCGGCCTGCTTAGCGACGAGGACCTGCGCGGACCTGGCGTCCGGCCTTCCAAGACGCCCTCAGCTGACCCTGCCCCGTCCCGCGCCCCGCCGGCCGCCTCTCGGGCCTACGGTGGTGGTCGCGCCGCTCCGGGCGCCAACCGCACCATGTTCGACTTTGACGCTTTCTATCAGGCGCACTACGGGGAACAGCTAGAGCGCGAACGGCGTCTAAGGGCCCGGCGGGAGGCCCTTCGCAAGCAGCAGGAGGACCGGGCCAAGAAGGACTTCGACTGGGACGAGATCCGAGACACGGTGTTAATTTTCTTTTTCTTCACAATCTTCGTCATCATCGGCTTTCGTATTTAATCGGAGAGAGGAGGGAAGGGGAGCAGCCCCATCCAGCCCCAAGAAAACGACTTTCCATAGTCTACCTCTGCTGGGGACCGAAGGAACTGCACACCCTCGCCCTCCCCCACCCGCCCATCTTAGCCAGTGACCTGCACATCCCTCCCCTTCGTCCAGAAAAGGAGGCTTGTGATGGCCTAAGAGGCCCCAAGCTGAAGAGTCCCGAAAGCCCGGGAGTGAAGGGTTTTCTGGAGTCCCGTGGGTGCCTGCTTCCAGAGGTTGCCTTCCCGGTGTTGTTAACTTCTGGAACTCTTGCTCTGGTTTTATCGTAAAGCCCTGAGCAAGCTTTGTCTTCTCCTGCCCCATGTTTGTACCATGGGGTTCCTCTGTAACCTTGAAACGTGCAATGTGACCAATTGTTGGCTGCCAAAAGAAAATGGGGTTGTGAGAAACTTGTCTTTCTGTGAGTTCCCCAAGCCACAGGTGAGACCTGATCCGGGGTAAGAATGTGATCGATGGAAAGCTTGCAGTTCCTCCCTCTATGGTCAGCCCCACACCCCACTCTCCCTTCTGCTGGTGGCATGTGGGAGTGGGAAAACAAGGTCATCAAACATGAGGAATGAGGGTTCCTGTTCCCATATTTAACTAATGTATGACCTTGGAGAAGTTACTCTGGGTGTGACAGCAGAGGAGTAAATCATTTGCTGTCGAGGTTTGTCACAATTTATTATCCATAGTTTATTTTTCACTAGACAAAAGTCTATCTTTAACTGTATAAAATTGTACATATAAAATACACAGAAAGTGCTAAAAAGATAAAATCAATTCATAGTGATTATAACATGATGTTAATAGGGCCAGGTTCATCGCTGGAACAGCGCACTTATTACCTGGGCATGCCTTTACTGGCCAGCCCCATTGCTAACTGTACACCTCATCCCCTCCTAGAAAGAGAGCAACAAACTCGGAGCTGGAGTCCTCTGAGTGTGACCCATGCTCCTGTTTAAAAAAAAAGATGACCGGTAAGGGGATCTTAACCCTTGACTTGGTGTTGTCAGCACCACGCTCTCCCCAGTGAGCTAACCTGCCATCCCTATATAGGATCCGAACCCTTGGCCTTGGTGTTATCAGCACCACACTCTCCCGAGTGAGCCACGGGCCGGCCCTAGAGCTGCTCTCTTAACAGTCACCAGACGTGAGGGGTGAGTTGGCTGTGAGATTGTAGGTGCTCCAATGTTTGTGCTCTGGGGTTCAGTATAAAGCTGTGGAAGAGGAAAATCCTTGCAACAGTTCTATGGCAAGGATGAGGGCCCAGGTCTGGGGTCTAAACAAAGCCAGAGGTACTTTGGTGTGTTTGTGCTCTGGGGTTCAGTATAAAGCTGTGGAAGAGGAAAATCCTTGCAAGAGTTCTATGGCAAGGATGAGGGCCCAGGTCTGGGGTCTAAACAAAGCCAGAGGTACTTTGGTATATTAACATCAATTCCTGCACTCAATATTTTCTGTAAAATCCTTGTACAAAATTGGGATAAACCCACAGTCCAACCTGGTCTCATGAAAACCATTCAGTTCTCTCTTGCCTTGGAAGTTGGGGGTAAGCTGGGCATGGCTTTACAGTGACCATACAATTCTGTAGTGAAGATTCTAGCCCACCCTGGTTCAGACTTGCTTGGCTCAGTGAGCCTTGATTTTGGGGGGAGGAGGACTGTGTACTTTAAAAAAGAACATTTAATGTTATGTTTCATAATTGGAAAACAAGAGGGAAAGTCTGTTCTTTTTGAAATACAAACTACAGGAAGCAGAGCTTAGTAAAATTTACAGCAACTAGTGATTCTCAGCCAAGAACGTGGGGACATAACAGGGTCCTTGGGGCAAGGGCTTTTTGTTTCTATCAAAAGGTTTGGGTTCTCTTGTTTTTGATTTGTAGAAGCACTAGTGATCTGTAATAGCATGGGCCCCTGGACATAAACATCTCAAATTTGTTTTTTCTTAATGAAGATCACAGCCAGGAATGTTCCTTGCAACCCCAGAACCTGGAGGTAGATGGAAAGTTGCAGAAGGTTTGAGGGGAAATGTGCAGACTTAAGTGAAACTTCTGGAACATTCCAGAACATTTTATGCAACTATAAGCATGGTAATCTTTTTTTTTTTTTCAATAACTTTTTTTTTTTTTTTGGTGGCTGGTCTGTATAGGGATCCAAACCCACGACTTTGGTGTTACCAGTACTGTACTCTCCCAAGTGAGCTAACCAGCCAGCCCCCAAGCTCTGAGCCTTTCCCATGGCCCAGAAGTAGGCCCACTTCACTCTGATAGTGTCCATCCCCACCTGCCTTAGGTCTTTTTAGGCCAGAGCTGAACTCTCAGGGATACCACTCCCTGCCCTCCCCAAAACTGAGTCTGGGCTCTTTATGGAAAGGGAGATGTGTGGGAGGCTTTTTTTTTTTTTTTTAAAAAGATGACTGGTAAGGGGATCTTAACCCTTGACTTGGTGTTGTCAGCACCACACTCACCCAGTGAGCAACCGGCCATCCCTATATGGGATCCGAACCCGTGGCCTTGGTGTTATCAGCACCGCACTCTCCCGAGTGAGCCACAGTCCGGCCCCGTGGGAGGCTTTTTGAAGGACCCCCAACTGGTTCCCATGATAACATTTCTCCACCTGCCCCACCCCCTCCAGATTGTCTTGGGTCTTTCCTTTCTCTGCTTTTTACCTGCTCTGGCAAGGGGAGCTGAATTAGATTGTGGACATTAGCCCCTGCCTTCTAGGTGCTATTCCCCAATTCCTAATGGTGGAGGAAAGCTCAGACACACCCATTCTTAGTCCTTTTTCTTCTTTTGGTCACAAACTAAAATAAAACTCCTTAGAAGTTTGGACCTGGAATTGGAGACTAAGGCGAGGGGCCCAGTCTGCTCCAAGCTGTGCTCAGTGGATAGATGTGCAAGTACAGTACGAGGCTGAGTGAGCAGCAGGCAAGAGTCCTAAATAAGGAGACATAGGCCCACAAGACAGGAATCTAAGGTGCGCATGTCTAGGCAGTTGTGGTATTGTCTTTATTTGATAAGACATTATTCCTCCTTAGCCAAACTGATTTTTCCCCTCCATTACCTTTTATTTATTGCTGGGTAAAATGACCCTTTAGGGAGCCCAGAGTTGGGAGAGTAGGATTTCTTCTTACTTGCTTCTTTCTGAAGTTCTGGCACTGGATGCACCTTTGGCCTCTGCAGTGGTCCCAATATGAGCCAAGATGAGTAACAACAGCCTACCTTAGGCCAAGGAGTTCTCCCTTGGGTTGTGATTGATTCTGAAGGTCATAGCCACAGCCACCAGCCTTCCCTTTTTGGGAAATGGGAGAGGCCTATGTCTTGAACCTTTGGACTTCCTTGAAGGTCACCAGCCCCATGAAAACAGGCTGAGAGAAGGGATAGCTGGTAAGTGGTGGTATCCCTTCAATCCCCTCTCTTGAATTCAGTGTACTAGAAAGGGCTCTGTTCTGTCCTTTGACTCCTTAGTTCCTCAGCCCTGTGATGAAGTCACACACTGCTACCTACCCATGAGCAAGATCATAGGGGAAGACCTGCTTCGCCTGCCCTCAGCAGTTTGGCTCTGGATTCAGTTTGTGGCCCTGGTGGGTTTGTGTAAAGCAGCCTAGTGTTCCTCTGTTAATGTGCTAAAACCATAGTGAAATCTGAGTCTGGACCTCAATGACCTTGCATACACCAAGAAGGCTCAGAGTTCTCATCCCATGCAAGAAGCCCAGGCAGAGTTCATCTCTCACTGTCTGTCCTGAGGTCACAGTGTCACTGTGGACATAACCATCTCACCACTCTCTCTTAAGGCTGCCGTGGACCTAGGGTACTGTCACTAGTCTTGAAATGGGTTGGCTCTTCTTCCCATCTTGGCTTTGTCCCATCAACATTCACACCCTCAGCCTTGGGAGGGGACCGCTGCTAGATAAAAGAAGGCCTGTTTCAGGAGGACCAAGAGCAGACTGAGATTCATGGTTCACAGGCCACAGCTCACCAGCAGACAGTTTTGGCTGGCAAAGTGTCCTAAAATAACTTTAGCCAACATTCAAAACTTGTGAGATTTTGCATAAAAATATAGATTTCTAACCTCTCAAAAAATGAGAAAATCTGCCATCATTGAACTTATGGACTTGCATTCCTGCCATGGGAGAAGCATAGTAACATCTGCCCTTTTAGATGAGACACTGAGCCCGTTTGCTGCACTTCACCAACAGAGGTGAAATGTGAAAGGCCTTTATCCACACACTTGCCACAGTGGAGAAATTTTTCCCATAGTGGAGAAATACTTTTCTACCATATGTCTATCAAGGGTTAGGGGGAAGGACCATGTGTTTCCAGAAAAATGAAAGTGGGAGTATTTGTAGAAATGGAGTGCTTTGCTCCTCTGTGTCACCTTCCTGTCCCATATAGATGTTTGAGAGTTTGCAGATTCCTAGGCTACGTCATGTGTTGCTGCAAGAGCCCACACTTCATACAGGGAGGCTGAGTGTAAATCTTATTTTCCTTATAGGGCAAGAAGAATCTTTTGAGAGGTCTACAGCAATGGCAAGATTTTAGACAAAGCCAGAGGTCCTTTGGTACAGTAAAATCCTTGTATAAATTGGGATAAACCCGCAGCAAATCCACCTTGATCTCTTGGAAACCATTAGATTCTCTCTAGCCTTTGGGGTCAGGGGCGAGCTCCTAGCCACAGCTTTGTAGGGCCATAGGATTCACTGGTTCAGATTTGAGCCTACTCTGGTTCGGGGCTTGCTTAGCCCAGTGCACTTTGGTTGGGAAAAAAAAGCACATTTAATGTTATTATGTTTTATGTTTGGAAAACAAGGTGGGAAGCTTAGGAAAATATGCAGAAGTTAGTGATTCCCAAACAAGGAGGTGTACATAATAGACTTCCTTGAAGGACAGGAACGCTTTGATTTTTATCAAAAGGGTGAGAGTTTTGTTATTTGGGGGATTTTTTTGTTTTGAGTTTATAAAAGAGCTGGTGGTCTGTAATAGGTAGACTCTACCTCATGAGCTTCTTGAAGTATACCCTCAAGTTTGTTCTCTGTCAAGAAGATCATATCAAGGAACATTCCCAGGGGCCCCAGAACCTGGAAGCAGAAGGTTTCAGGCAGGGGGGAGGGCCCAGACTGCCAGAAACCTTCCAGAACATTCCATGTACCTTCAAGCAGGGGGTTAATGAAGTTTTGAAACCATCCAACTTTAAGCCTTTCCCATGACCCATCCCAAACTAGGCCCACTCCACTCTGGTGATGTCCATCCCTGGGGAGGGCCCAGACTGCCAGAAACCTTCCAGAACATTCCATGTACCTTCAAGCAGGGGGTTAATGAAGTTTTGAAACCATCCAACCTTAAGCCTTTCCCATGACCCATCCCAAACTAGGCCCACTCCACTCTGGTGATGTCCATCCCTACCTGCCTCAG